TTTTTGCAGGTGTTCATTAGTCCCTACGCTTATTAGTTATATATTTCAACAATATATAGCACTATTTTTTTTTGAAGGGGACAACATATAACAAAATGAGAATAATAGTATGGGAACTACATAACTGATCTTTGCTCCTTAGTATCACACCAAAATTAATAAAACTTCTAAACGCTAACGAATGACTAAAAGGAAGGAGATAAAGAATACCTGATTAATGGGTAGAGATTCAAGAAGAATTATGCAAAAGTCAATTTGCTCAAGGTAGCCTACACATGGTAACCTGAGTTTTTAGAGCGAAATTGAAGGATCTTTAAGATTAAATTTTCAAGAAATAAACATGTGGCCATGTTTGCAGATATTTGTTTTTGCAATTGAATCCCGATGAGTGGCAAGGAACATACATCAGGAATATCATATATAAGGAAGTATTAGATATGCTTTATCACAGGGGTGTTCAAATCGAACCTGAAAATTGTACCAAATCGAAAAGTCAAAGCAAACCGATTAAAAAACTCGATTAGGTTTTGGTTTGATGTGGTATTGAGTAAAAAGAACTAAAACAAACCGATATATAAATATATAATTATTATATATACTTTTAAGACATTATATAGAATTTCTTTAATAAATGTCTAGAAACATTTGGGTGATCATCTCATAGGATGTAATATTTAATGGAACTATGAAGTGCATTTATTTTTAAGTAATTTAAATAATGGGTTGTATCACTTTCTTATCACGTGTTATTGAAATGCGTCAAGCATCTCTTTGTTCTTCCATATTTATATATCAAGATTTCTTGTATCTTTTTCGAATTTGAAGTGATATTTTGATAATTAAAAATTAAATAGAATATATCATTATTTCGGTATCATATTAATTTTTACATTTAATTATTAAATTCGATTAACCTTGAAAGTGTACATCAACGAAAAATTATTATTAGACAACTAAGAAAATAAGTATCATGTGTTACTAGAAAAAACTCCCATAAGGATTTCAATAGATCATCAGTTTGTCAATGTTTTCATTTATTTAGTAAACATATATTCACTTTTCAAAATTTTATCTATAACTTAAACAAAGTAAGATTGAAATATTATACTTGGAGTTTGCTATATTCATGTAGCAAGCAAAAATAAACAGAAAACTCCGACAAAATCGAACAAATTAATTAATATTATTTTATTATTTTACTAAATCTTGTATTGCATGACTTGATATATCTGCACGTGCAACGTACGTGTCGAGTATATATATATATATATATATATATATATATATATATATATATATATAGAGAGAGAGAGAGAGAGAGAAAAGGAAGGGTAAGAATGTAATCAAATAAATTTAAGGTAGAGAATGGTTGCGGCGAAGTTATTCTGACCCAACGCCATGGCCCCAGCTCGTATATAAATAGCTCTCCAACTTCCTCCCACTTTCTCTTAACTAAATACTACTAATATAAATAACAAGCTGTCCGCCGACCGCCGGCATCACAAGCTGTCCGCCGACCGCCGGCATCACAACATGAAGAAAAGAGGAGTTTTAGCAGCCTCTCTTTCTGCTGCTGCCATCTCTTCTACTACCACAACCTCTTCTTCCAAACTTCGAATTTCTCTTCATCAGGTTAGACTTCAATTTGTTTGTAATTTTTCTCTTTTCTCTCATGTTTTTGCATCACTTGAATGTCGACAGAAAGTTATCTTCTTTTATTGGAGCAACGATAAAGCTATGGAAGCATTTATTAATACTCGCATTAGGTTAAATTGTCTTACGTCACATATGAGATGGTTGTGCACCGGACTGTCCCTTTTTACCCATGTAGCATATAAAGTAATGGGTCTTGCATTTGGACTTTGATAATTTAATTAATATGTGTGTTCCTATTAAAAGGGCGCATCCACTGAATTTAAATCTTGAATTCTCTTTTATTTTCAGGGTGATAGTTTGAAGAAAAAGGATGGAAATTGTTCAAAGCCTGTGAAATTATCACCATCTTCAGATAAATTTGCGCCCAAATTTGATGGATTGAGGTTTATTGACACGCTGGTCACTGCTCACAGATAAGTTTACAAGTGGCTAATCAAAAAAGTTTTGGATTGCTGGACAGTATAGGAGATATAAGAGATTTAACAAAATATATATATATATATATATATATATATATATATATATATATATATATAATATGATAATTGATACAAATAGCCCATCAACGACTCTATTAAGGGCTAAATTCTCTGAATTTGTACTAAATTACACAATAGTTTCAAGGATCAAAGTTCCAACAAATTCTTTCTTTCATCTGTTTCTGGTTGTATTTTTTATTTTTTTAAATATGGGGGGAAAATAGTGATCAAGATGATTACTCCAATTTGACTGAAACTCAAACTCCTGATATTACAGTTCAAATTTGTTGTCCTGATTTAATGGATTTTTGTGCTGGTTTTGTACTTCTAATTTTATGTGCAAATGTTTGACAATGACTATAGCTTTGACCACCTAATGTACTTTTGACGTATATCACTCTTTTTCAGAAAAATAATGCAATTATTTTTGTAGTACATGTGCTTTAATTTGCGCACAACCATTTCTGGGAGGAAAATATGTAGCACAAAGGAAAAAAGCAAAGGGAAGTGAAATATAAAAAAGTAATGAATTGAAAAGTCTGAACAAGCTAAAATAACTGCATAAGATTAGTAATTAAATTTTTATGACCACTTGCTCTTCTAACCAAATATCAGGGGAAAAAATTGGTCATACTATTGTACAATTCACTCGAAATACTTTTGTCCAGAAATATATTCTGTTGACTCAGTGTTTGTAACATCTTGGTCTTTGATTTAAACGGTGGAGAGCGAATTTGGAGGCCCTTAGTATCTGATTTTGAGCCCCGAACCGCAGCTCTAGTTTTGTGGCTTCTCCTCTTTCTTCAATTAATTTGTCGTTGCTCTTGTTTATGTTGTTGCTCCGTGTTCGGCAATTGCTTTGTAGCCAATTTGGAGAACTTTTGTAACTCTTTTATTGTTATAGTGGAGCTTTTTGGATTTTTGTGATCCCGTGGTTTTTACTTTCGATTTGAAGGGTTTTTCACGTTAAAATTTGGTGTTCTTTATCTTCTTTATTTTTAGATTTGCCTCTTCCTCGATATAACAAATCATAGTAAAAGTGATAGAGTAATATTTACGAGGTTTGTCTAAACACAGTTTTTACCGCATCGATAAATACTTATGTGCATCGGACGTTGCACTAAATCACACTAATCTACCATGGTTAGTAATTGATTAAAAGGTGATGGTGTGCATTACTTAACTATAATTTAATGATAATCATGCTTGTAAAGACATGTGTCGCGTATTTACGATGTTGGTTTAAACACTTGATGCGGGTAAATTTCTATCGTATTGATAAATACTTACCTGTACGTAGGGGTATACAAACCGAATCGGAAAACCGCACCAAACCGAAAAGTCAAACCAAACCGATTAAAAATCCCGATTAGGTTTGGTTTGATTTGGTTTGGTATTGAGTAAAAAATTTCGAACCAAACCGACATACAAATATATAATTTTTATATATACTTTTAAGACTTTTTATAGAATTTTCTTTAAAAAATGTCTAGAAACATTTGTGATTCTCTTATGGGATGTAATATTTAGTTAAATATGAAGTGCTCCAAATTTATTAACTTTCAATAATGGGTTGTATGATCACTTTCTTATCAAGTGTTAGTGAAATGCATCAATCTATTTGTTCTTCCATATTTATATGTCAAGTTCTATTAAATTCTTATATCTTTTTCGAATTTGAAATGGTATTTCGATAATTTAAAATTCAATAGAACATATCATTATTTAGGTTCATATTTATTTTTATGTTTAATTATTAAATTCAGTCAATCTTGAAAGTGTACATCAACGTAAAACTATTGTTAGACGACTAAAAAATAAATATCATGTATTACTAAGAAAATTCTTCCATAAGAATGTTTTAATAGATGGTATATTTGTCTTTTTTTTTTTTTAATTTTTACTAAACATATATTTAATTATCAAAAATTTAACAAAGTAAGATTGAAAAAATATTCACATAACAAAAAAACCCGAAAATCCGACAAAACGAACCAATATAGTTGGTTTGGTTTGGTTTTGATAAAAACCGAACCAACCCGATCCATGTACACCCCTACGGCTGTACGGAATGTTTACACCAAATCATACTAATATACTATGGTTAGTAACTAATTAAGGTGATGATGTGCATTAATTAACTACTATAATTTAGCGATAACCATACTCGTAAAGATATGTATCGTACATTTACTAGGTTGGTCTAAACACTCTATACGAATAAATTTGTACCATGTCTAAACGTGGCTTCTTGAAACATTCATCATTAAAACTTCTTTCAGTGTTCCTTTTTATGATGTCATTGGAGACCAACGACATCGATTTGATGAAAGAGTGCACCTAGTTTGCAAAACGCTTTGTGACGAGCAGTTTCTTGAAGAGCGAATTCGATCCTATAGTCGTCTTCTTTGTTCGAAAAATGTACATGAAAAGGGATGCTAGTCGGCTCGGCGAAGTTGTAGCCCAAAAAAAAAAGAAAATCTGGCATAAAAAAAAAATACGTACTTCCTAAAAGCTAAGTTGGAAATCTCTATGGAATTATGATAAGATTGAAAGTGAATACAGATTCTTTCTGATTCGCTATTACATTTATTTGTAGGGGAAAAAATGAGATACGAAAAAGTTTGTTAAATGTTATATCTTTTCCTAATATAAAGTAAAAGTGTATTAATGGTTGTCTATCAAACTTAATTATGGCTATAACAAGGCAGCTGAACAGATTAATAGCTTGACATATCTTTCATAATAAGGGCAAAATAGAAGCCACGAAAGCTGCATCTCAATTACAAAAGTTTAATCCTTGTTTAACTTTGAAGAATTTGCTTTGATTTTGTTTTTGCAAATTAACAAATTTGGACGTGTATATTTGAAACCAAAAACTTGTTAATGAAAGGGTTTTAAAGTATAACCAAGAAAACAAAAGCAAAAACAGAGGATTCCTAGTATGCTCATTACTCAAGAACCAACTGTTGTTCCTCTTATGTCTATTCTATATGACTACCACCAGCAGTTTCATGACATTTTCTTTTGCAACTCAAAGACTGTCCTTACTAACATGGAGAACAGCATACCTATACGGAGACAGTGTCATGACAGTTCGTGACAAAAAGATTGTATAAGAACCGGGAAAATCAAAACTGTCCAAAATGATCTGGATCTTCTGAGCTCAAACTGGTTATTCTTTCCCTATGAGAACATGTTAGTCCTATTGACCGTCTACTCTGTATATGTGGCATAGCATCTTCAGAATTGCTGATGTCAATCTGCCAGAAAGGTGAAAAACAACTCTGCTGCTATTCTTAAAGGATGTCGCGATTGTGTCTTTGTTTACGGGTGATGGACCTACCCATGCGAAGCCGTCGAGCTGTAAGTGCTTCTAACAAAACCTCCACTGCATCTTCAATTGCTTTAGCCTGTTTATCCAATCCATAGGAAACAAAATTTGGAAGGTCATGCAGCTCATCGAGGAGGCCTATTGCTGCTGCTGCTGTACATGTACGATCCCATGATGGTTGCGGTCTGCCCTTGGCCAATACATTACACATGAGTTAGGAACGGCAGAAAGGCAAGTACTAAGAGGAATGAGCACAAAAATAAGCTGCAGTTCGGATCATGTGATTCACCTGAGTTTATGCATCAAGGATGCTCCTGTGTTCAGCGTTATGCAAGGAAGCTCATCACCCCACATTAACTCGTACCGGTCCTAACAATTAAATATCTCAGATCAACTGTTTTTCTTTGGGAAATTAATCCACGTAATCAGAACTTAAATGAACCCTAAAAGGAAGGCAACTTTGGCATGACAGGAGAACTAAAGAATACTGTGAATAACTCGTTATACAAAGTCACTCATCTGTATCCAACTAACATTCTTGTACTTTTAATACACGTGGTTCTCTTTTGTTTACCTTATCTATTAAAGCAAAGCAAAGTACAAAGTAATTTTCTAAGGGACGGAGTGGAACTTTGGCATGATAACAGAAACTAAAGAAATACTGTGAATAACTCGTTGTACCAAGGCACTCATTTGGTTCCAACAATCTTGTACTTATACATGTGTTTCTCTTTTGCTGTATTGCTAAATGTTTAACCAATTACAATGTACTTCTCCGTCAGAAGGGAAGGGGGTTCTCTTTGGCGGATTGAAGGCATTTAAGTTCTCCAATACACACTAGAGGATTGGGTATCAGGGATTTGAGGGTCTTCAATAGGACCCTCTTGTATGTGGCTTTGAAGGTTCGGACTGAGGAAGATATGTATTGGAGAGTACTCAAAGACAAGTTAGGAGTGGATACAGGCAGATGAAGAACCCCTGCTATAACTAGTCCATAACTCCATAGCTCAGTTCTTTGGAGAGTCATTAACAAAGGGATGGGTGGACTTTTATAAAATATTAGGGGAGAGGATACGTTTGACTGCAGTAATATGTTTCTCAATATCAGGTTTTCGCAGATGTTTTCCGTCTCCACGGGAACAAAAAAGGAAAGTTTGGCTAAGGAGAAAGGAGAGAAGGGGTCGAGGCCTTTTGAGGTATCCAGCTTAGAAGGTAGAATGGAAGAAGTTGGAGACAGGTGGAATTGGAAAGAGAATGGTGGTAATTTTACTGTAGAATCATTTTACATGTCTTACATAAGAGGGAATAAAAAGCGATCTTAAATTATCAGGAAAAATGATTACATATTGAGAGATAGAATTGCCAGTCTCTAGATAATTATTACCATATGCCACTTACAGGTGTGCCCTTTTCTGTTAATAGAACTTACTTTCACCCATCAAAATAATTTTTATACAAGTAAAACACAAGAGTTTTATTAACTTCTATACACTTAAGACGCAAGAGTTCTGCAATTTCAGCTGTTATACAAATTAATTGTTTTCTCCAGATAGATCTTTATTAGCAAATTTATGTGCTCTAACATGCAGAACTGCAGTTGAAATCTGTGCATAAATAAGTATGTGAAAGTAACAAGTTATCATCACAAGACGCAGAAGCTTTTTCAATGTCCAATAATATAATCTCATTAATCTAATTGGTTAAAACTTAAACCTCAATCCCAATTTATTATTTCCGTTCTTTTTCTTTTATATCTTCTATTTTACGCGCTGATGAAAAAGTTCATCACTTCATAATGAAAACTTGATTTTAAAGCAATAAAGAGTTACATTTGCTGGCTGAAGTACCTTCAAACGGCTGAACATTGCACCCGAATTGCTCCAGGTCCCATCAATTAGAATAAAATTCAAGGAATGGCCTCCATCTGTCTACAAATAGCAGCATAAACGTCAACACTCATGCAATGGAAAATGAGAATATCACATAGACAAGTTGACAGGATTGATCACCATCACGTGGTTTAAGCAGCAAAAGTACACTCACACTACCATTGTATGAAATATTATTAGCAACCACATGTTCAAACAAATCTACATGGCACCATGAAAATACATGCTTAATAATCATTATAATGACTCTTTCAGTGCACTTAATCAAAGTAGCCAGCCCATACTTTTAGCCAAGGATAAAGGATGACTACTTAGTAGTAAGGACTCTCCACCTCCAAATACAAAGTGGGAGTGAGTCACCAAAGGAGCAAAAAGGGGAGAGGCCCTTGTAGGCTGCTAAGTAGGGCGGATTTGGGAGGGTAGAGTATATCATAAAGAGAATCTTTCGCTTGATGGAAGAAAATAGCTGAATCTCCCTCTTTCTTGAGAAGAGAAAGGGAAGTACTACCAAATTATATCTCCAAAGCTCCCTTATGGGTAATTCCATTATTTTCTATTATGGAAATTATTTGGAAGACTTTTCACTTTTCTCAAAGTCTCAAATTCATTTCCCTGAATTGCTTCCAGAAAAAGAAGAAGGTGAATGACTCTTCATTCCTACATTTGCTTCCCTTTGTCATCTTGTCAATGACAACTTGGCCATATTTCCATGTCAAAAGTTAGGGTGGCGTACAGTTTCAGGAGGGCATTCTACATGTGAAAAAGAAAGCTTGGCCATGCTATCCTTGACAGACTTCGCTGGTGCATTCTTGTTGGGATAAAGGCACCAAACCTTATCTTTTCCTGAAAATAATGTAAAATGCGAATCAAAAGCTAAATTCCCTGCAGGTTCTGCCAAAAGTGAGAACAGAATACACAGCATTTTTCCTAAAACAGAATACATAACATCAACTTAGCTCCATAAGCAATCTTCTTATTTGATGCTACATGAATGGGGTCAATCATAACGAAGTATTCTGCTAATTTCGACAAAATGGGAAAGAACTGTGATCATTCCCTCGTTACCATTAACATTTAAATATGGCATCAAACTTCAGTTTGTCTGTACCTACTGCTCTTCAATACATCCTAGAAAATTAACCCAACAAGTCCATCGGTTGACTAAGATAATAATTGTTTTTTTTCTTATTGTCCGAGCGAGAAATTGTCGGAAAGAATTGATCAAAACTGATAAACATGCTAAAAACAATTACAAGGGAAACTAACAAAAAAGTAGCAAAATTTTCTCCTAAAGTAGACTCGTCGAAGATGTGGTGCCCCAGGTATCTTTGACATTTCCATGGCTCCTGTGTGGTAGAGACAGAGCACCCACCTAGTTATTTGCTCAAAGGAATGTACATGCATACATGCCTAATTCAATAGTTCTCAAGAAATCTCAAATCTGTCTCAACACTCGCATACCAGTCTACCAGACACATGCTTACACAGTTGAATTTAGTAACTACAGGTTTTGAATTATTGGTTAACTAACAGATTGTATGGTATTGTAGCTATTAAGATGTAATTTTTAGTTTCCATACCTTTTTTTGGGACACAGATGGTCACAGGTACTAGGGCACAACCTCACACACTCTTGGCTAAATTACATAATGGGTATCATTTTACCCACCACAACAAGAGGTCTACTCCAAAATTCTGTAGTAAGCAACCTTTTTCATACAAAACATAAGCATCCATTTTTGGAATCATGTGGTAGTTACGAGCACTTTTCTGACAACTTCAAGGGATTATGCTGGGACAAGCTCTCTAGCTGCTTCATTCTACTAGAGTATTAAATTGCCAAACAAATTAAAATAAAATGAAGACCTGCAAGCTTCAATGCATCCCACATCATTTCCTCATGTTCAGCTATTCCATAGAGGCACAAAGTAGCAGCTTGAATGCCAAACACTTGCCACAACAACTTCCCTGTGTTATTTTGTCGCAAGAAATCCTGCAAAAGAACAAATTGATATTCATATAAACATTCTTATACAGGAAGAATTAAGTGTGAAATAAGAAGAAAATGAAAGGTTGTAAAGGAAAAACAAGAAAAAGGATAGAAAGAAAAGTTCGTACCTTTGGATGCATATACAACCAAAACCGTACTCGATGCCAAAGAGGACATGAAATAAGTTTTGAGCACATACAATCTTCCGAGGGAAGCCAGCACTTGAAAAATTTACAACAGAAACAAAACCAGATGTGATACCATCAAAACCTATTTGTTTGTCAAAAAAGAAAAAACAAAAGAACTTTTCTAAGGCAAAATGTGCAGATCACAACATACTTATTCTTTATGCTTTCATGCAGAATATATCTCACACAAAAATACAAGAATAAAATCTTAAAACATAACATTGATGTGTTAAGCAAATAGTTTACCTTCTGACAAAGGTAACCCCTACTTCCAAGCACACGACATGCAATTTGTCGAGCTGAAAAGAACTGGAGTTTCGTTTCTGAATCACCTAAAGACTGATATGTTGCTCTATGCTTTTTATCCTCTTGCACCTTGAAGTCACCCTAAGAATCAGAACAGAATTATGAGCTAATAATAATCAAGTAATTATAAAAGAGGCGAACAAACCCGAGGTAGAGCAATGAAATTTCTTAAAGAGAATAGGTAGTCATTATGAGGTCACCCGGCACCGTATATATTTATTTAGCATTACTTCCACTTTGTCATATATTTGCAGGGGCGGAGCTATAGCAGTGGGTGCGGGTTCGGGCGAACCCAGTAACTTTTTCTTGAACCCTGTATTTGTATTGAAAAACTCATAGCTTAAATAAAAATATGTCACGCCGAACCCAGTAACAAAAGGCATCTGGGTACAGTGGTAAGGGCTGTGGGTTCTCATGGAAAGCACGCAGGTTCGAGTTCCCTTGAAAGCAACGCATCTTTATTGTGTTTTTTACCAAGTTTTCATTTATTTTTTCAAAAAAAAAAAAAAACCACAAACTAATTATAAAATAGAACGAAACGACAAAGCTCTAGACAAAGGAGCCTATTGGTTTCCTTGCAAAATCAGAATTACACTTTTCCTTTTTTGTAAACAAAAGCTCCTCCAAAATACTATAACAAAAGAAAAAAGATGCATCTACACAAATTTGCACCCAAATCAAAAAAAGTTAGGGTTCTGTTGTTTAGAACCCACACACTTCATATCCTAGCTCTGCCTCCGTATATTTGATCTCTCTTTCCGTGTATGAAAAGCTGAGAGGCCAAAAAACTTAACTCCAAAATGTACTTTACCGCAATACCGCTTAATCCAATTTTATCTTTTTCCAATATTATTCATTTTCTCAAGGTTGTTCATTGTTTTTTCATTTAAAATCATCAATTTTATGTATATTGTATTTAAATTTTATATAATACTAGAGTAAAATTAGACTAGATATACCAAGTGAATTTTTCATTTCGCACATAGAAATACCACAAGTTACTATAAAAATTGGGTTGTCAATAAAGGATCTTTACTATATCGTTGTTATAAAATGGAGAAGTGCAACGCGTGTTCTACAACAAAGATGCAAGACCAGCTATATCACATGAGAGTGAATGTTAGGCCTTTGAGACCCAACTTACACAAATTGAATGTTGCAAGAATGCAAATATTAAGATGAATTTGGAATTATATAGGAGGAGAAGATTTTAAGTGATCACATCCAACAAAGGGTGCAAATTGCACAGAAATAGTGAAAATAGCACATATAGAGGATAAAATTGTGGGAGCATTTTCAAAATTTTAAATAGCCATATGTCTTTTTATTTTAAGTGTCCTATCTATTTCCAAGTGGCTTCTCGCATGAAGCCTTAAAGCCAAAGTGTTGAAGGGCTTTGACAAGTGGCTATGCAAATCTACCATGTGTCTTCACGCATGGAAGACTAGGTACACTTGTTAATATTAAAGCCAAGTGGACTAATATATTTGGACAAGTGTTAAGACTCTCCACACTTGTCATACATGCAACCTCCCTAATTGTCTATTAGACTAGCCATCATACTCACTCAATTCTCAACCGAGAATTCATCTTGCTTCTTCCTTCTTTATAGTTAGCTAATCATTACTTTCTTCCTACAATCATTACCTATTATTATTAATTCTTCTCTTCAATTTTTGAACCTGGTGGATTTATTATTTGATTTTGTTGATTCCTGTATCCTCTAAATAAATAGAGGTAGGCTTGTTTAACATTTCACATTGCTGGAATACTTTCTTAGGACAGTGCCCAGCACGACTCAAGCCAATTCGTGTATCTGCTCACAAATTCGTTGTCATTTTCCCCATGTCATTTCCCTACAAAAGTGAGGTCACCTAAGATGGTTGACCATGTATCATATAGACTTTTTGATTTACCGTTTCCACCATTGCGACAATATGATGATTTTAGTTGATAAAAGGATATGAGGTAGACCTAAATTCATATGAAACGGATGTGTCTTGAGAGATCTAAATATCTCAAAATCAATGCAAACCTGACAAAGAACCTAACATAATCGAAGTAAAAATTCCATATGAGTTAATATAAACTTTAAAGCACAGGAGCTGCAAACACGGACACCTGCACACCTAGCTAACCCTACAGGAAACTGAGATTTAGATAAATCCTAATTTGCCTTCAAAGACAAATATTTAGTACTGGAATGAATTATACCAAAATAAAGAGCAATACTTGAAACGAAATAGACCTGATTCCTTACCAACCCTAATTCGTTTGGGATTGAGGCTAGTTGGTTGATATTAATAGAAATTGTTGTTAAAAAAGTTGAGAATATTTGGTTCAAGCAATTTGACAATCAACAATTAAACTGTCATCACTTTATCTAGTATCAACTAGTAGTATTACTGAATAAAGGGTCCATCAGAAAGCATTCTACAACGGCAGAGATGAGTACGCCCATTAGTGGCATTCAGCATTCCTACGTTTAGCATTGGATGTACTTTCTAGGCCCAAAACCAATAGCGTAAACTAGGAGTAAACCGCCAAGATAAAACTAACAAATTCACAATGCACAAAATTGAGATTCTCTTTTTCTGACATTTTGATAGGGAAATCATCAAAGTTTGGCTAAAAAACATTCAAATTTCAAAAATCGAAGTTTTTTTACCGAGAGTTTGCCGTGATTGCCACCAAAAATCATATCTGCATCACTATCTTTCTGCAAAAGCTTCAAGTCATCAACTACCTGAGTAACCATAGAGGGTATAGGAGATGTGGTACCCCACCCCTGCCATTCTTCAACGCTAATGGCAGCTTCTCCACTGCTGCTTACTTTGTGGGATTCACTTGAAGGAGAAACAGAGGAATGCATTGTAGCTGTTGTTGTTGTAGACATAATCGTTTTGCTGCAAAATTGATGCGGAAAATGGAACGAGCTTCTGAAGCTCAAGGGTCTTGTTGTTGTTGGAAAGAACAGCATCGTATTCGGTCAGTGGTGGGTGATTTTGGAATTTCCTTAACACTTTTACCCACTTTGGTTTAGATTCTCTGCAATATCTCCTTTGCATTTTGAGCCTATAATATTGGGCTTACTAGATGATATGGAGACTAACAAGTTAAAAAGTACTTAAAAGCTGGTTTGATCAATTTTTAAGAGTGTGTTTGTAAGCTGGTTAAACTGGCTTATAAGCATTTTTTGGCTTATTTACGCATTTGGTAAAATTAAAGTGCTTATAAGTTAAGTGCTTATAAGCCAAAACTCATAAGTTGGTCTCCCCCAACTTATCAAATTTTAGCTTATAAGCACTTTAGATTTGACCAATATATTTACTATTTTATCCCTAAAATACTTCTTTTTAAAACAAAACTCTTCGTATACCTAGTTCTTCAGCTACTTATTATTAATTTCAGCATTTTTATCCAAACATGTAACTGTTTATTTCTTAAATCAGCTTAACACTTAAAAGTGTTTTTCAGCACCTAATGCTTATCAGCTACTCTAAATCAGCTAAGCCAAACGGGCTCTAAGTCTGTTTGGATTGGCTTAAAAGCTTTTTGACCAGCTTTTAAGCCATTTTTAGATGTTTGGAGTGTTTGGCAAAAAAGAAAACAGCTTAAAAAAGTTAAAAAAAGGCTTAAAAAAAGCTAAAAGCCACAAGTTAGGATATCCTAACTTTTCCGTTTTTGGCTTAAAAGCCATCTTATTTTGACCAACAAAATTACTTACTTGTCCCTTATAACTTTTACTAATCCCAAAATTACCCTCATCTAATAAATCCTAAAACATCCAACTACTCCCACTTTCTGTTCATCTTCTTTCCTCTTCTTCTCCTTCATCTTCGACGGTAAGTTTGTTCTTCTCCTTCATCTTCGACACTTTATGTTCTTCTTTCCCAAACTACTCTCAAACTTGCCTTGTTCTTCATCCTAAAACATCCAACTACTCCCAAACATGGTTTTAAGGCTTTACATTTAAAAAAAATATGGTAACAATCTTTTTGCAAGTTTTATGTTTGGTCATGATCAGCTTATAGAAATTGAGGTTTGGCAGAATGTTACATAATAAGCAAGAGGAAGATGTAGGTTCTTGATTTGTTTTATGCGATATTTTTATCTTTTTAACAGAAAAAAGTGTTTACCAGCACTTATTTACCAAACACTTCAATAACTTTTTTTAAGTTTCAGCACTTTTATTCAAACAGGTAACTGCTTATTTATAAAATAAGCTCCAGCACTTAAAAGTTGCTTTTAAGCACTTGTGCTTAAAAGTTGCTTTTAAGCACTTGTACTTAAAAGCCATTTTTTAAGCCAATCCAAACAGGCTCTAAATAGCACGGTTGAAAAATAGCCAATATTTTGCTCTAACACAGAAACTTCTAGCATATTATGTTAGAATTCCAGCACACGGAAAGTTCCAGCATAATATACTGTAGATTGGAGCACATGTGTATGAACTTCCAGCATATTATGCTGGACCAGTATATTATGCTAGAACTCCAATATATTATGCTGGAACTCCAGTATATTATGCTAGAAGTTCACATGTAAAAAATTTGAACTCCAGTATATTATGCTGGAATATTTTTCGGATTTTGAACAGTGTTTTCATTCAGATTTATCTTTACATGAAAAGTGGCCAAATTGCGATTACTTTTGAAATTGTGGCTATTTTCAATTACCACTTGTAAATCTGACTATTTTTGAATTTCGAGCACTGAGCCCAACCTATATGTTATTAGCCCAACCCAAAATTAAAGGGCAAAATACAAAATTGACCGGTCAGGCAAATAGCGTTTTCTAGCCAAAAAGTACATAATATATATATTTTTTGTATATAATTCACATATGTACAAAAAAAAATATACATTTTGTTGGCTATATTTTCGGGAAATATACATTTCTCAAAATTAAACTCCTTAATCCATTTATGACCATTTTTGTTTTACATCATTGAACATTGTATATGCAATTCCACAAACTCTACTCTTTTGGTTTTTGATAATCGTAATATCCGAATCATCTTGTATGCACGTCGATTAATTCCACAAGGTATATGCTACCTCGCACTAGCAACATGTACTCTTTTGTATCATTTTCAAATTTGTTGTTAAATACTTGCTATAAAACAATAAAAGTGGATTCTATGACACAATATAGTATCTTCAAATGTAAAAATATTTTAGACGAGAAGCAAATGTGAGTAAAACAAACTATATCGCGTCTATTAAATAGTAATAGAACTCTTCATTCTCCTCGTTTTTAATATTGAACCTATTCTTCCCCTATTTATTACTTTCCTGCAAATAAAGAATAATGGAACATGAGAAATGATAATTGACTTAAACATAGGAGAGAACTTTGTGGTACAGTAATTATACTCTTAAACCTTCAAACTTCTCAAAATAATCACTAAGTTTGGGGCTTCAATCGAGGTAATCAGGGGGAAGTGCACGGTTGGCCACTAATAACACATACATTTACTTTTAAGCCACTGTTTAAAATGTCTTTAGTCTTTAGCCACTGCTTTAATAAACTTTAACTGTCCGGACGAAAATACCCTTCTGCTCATGTCCTTAACTTTTGTACTTAACTTCAGGACTTCAGAACTACATGTCCTTAACTTTTGAACTTGGAACTCTAAGTTCAGGACTTCAGTACTACACGTCCTTAACTTTTGAACTTGTAACTCTAAGTTCAGGATTTCAAGGCTACATGTCCTTAACTTTTGAGCTTGGAACTCAAACTTCAGGACCAAGCGTCCTTAACTTTTGAACTTGTAAGTCAAAGTTAAGGACCTATTGTCCTTAACTTTTGAACTTGTAACTGTAAGTTAAGGACTGCTTGTCCTTAACTTTTGAACGTGTAACTGTAAGTTAAGGACTGTCTGTCCTTAACTTTTGAACTTGAAAATCAAAGTTAAGGACCTATTGTCCTTAACATTTGAACTTGTAACTGTAAGTTAAGGATTGTCTGTCCTTAACTTTTGAACTTGTAACTATAAGTTAAGGACTGCCTGTCCTTAACTTTTCAACTTGCGTCCTTAGCTATTGAACTTAACTTTAGGAATTCAGGACTACATTTCCTTAACTTTTGAACTTGAAACTCTAAGTTCAGGACCAAGTCCTTAACTTTTGAATTTAACTTTAGGACTTCAGGACTACATGTCCTTAACACAATTATCTTTGTCACGTCCTCCCACGTTGTGATTATTATGAGTGAAACCAAGCAATTCAACTCCTGAAAGCAGATACAAAAGAAAATGAGAGGCTTATAAAATTTATTTGATTAATGCATTTCATTTCTTCTATTCAAAATTGGGTTTCACATATGAAAATAATGGAAACACTCATACGGACCCCAGAACGCCATTGCAGAAGGAGAAGTGGAGCTGTAAGAAATGGATCTGAAAATGGCATATTTCCGTTTGGGAAGGACAGGGTAATATTGCCTTTTCATATTAATTTTAATAGACTAGTGGCTACTTTTGCTCAGCATTAAAAATGCTGAATAAAAAGTAAATACCACTTTAAAAAGTAGCTACCCCACACAATTTTTACAGGTAATCAACATATAAGTTGGAGCATAAAGTTGATGCACATATGGTCTAATATTTGATGTGCAACAAATAAGAGAAAAATGAGCAAATATCATTTGTAGCCCATCGGGCCAAACATATATCATCCAATAGTCACAAATTGACCCATACAATTCATAGCCTAACCCTATCTTTCTTCCTTACTATCTTTCTTCTTCTCTTTCACGCCAGCAACCCATGGCTGTGGTTCCATGGACGCTTTTCTCTTTCTCTCTCTCTTTAAAAAGCCTCTTTGGTTTCTCTCGTCTCCCTTTCTTGTATTCGGGGTTTGCGAAGACTCAAGTGGTTTGCGAAGACTGTGAATTGATGCTTAATGAACACATGAGCGTGGGGTTTATATAGATCTCCTATGAAGCTGATTGGGAAGTGAGATTTCGATGTGGGAATAGCTGAAATCAGTTATTGAAAAGAACTGGGATTGCTAAGGCGGTAGTACAACTGTACGAGATCTACTTAGTTAACTCCAATATTAATATTACTTGGTTCTTCTTCAAGTTCAAGTAGGAATTGAACTTGTCGACGCAAATTCAAGTTCAAGTACGAGACGAATTTATTGTCGACGCAAATTACTTAGCCGTTTGGTTCCAAGTAGGAATCATAGATTTCACAAAATTCAAGTTATAAAGTTCACGGATTCCTAGTCATATGGGAATATGTGGTATGATGATGTCTTCTACGTGGATTTTCATGCAAGTTTGTGAACATGAATTAGGATGCTGCTAATGTTAAGTAAAGTTTCAAATAATGTAAAAAAATCTTGACCTAGATGCTTATATTTGTCATTTCATACATATTGTGAAATGCAAATATATCACTTGAATAAGTTTCGGGGGAATATTCATTACAAAATAAATACTAATGTTAATACTTCAAGCCTCGACTTTTGGAGTTGGACACATCTAAACCTATCAAGTTTTGAAGTAGAGGGCATTTGTAGGCATATAAATTTTATTAAAATTAAATCCATAAAATAATTTGAATTATATTTTAAATTCAAGAAAATATTGGTCCAAATAAATACTATAGGCTAATATAATTGCATTAATTATATAAGTCCAACACATATGGGTTAAATAAATAAGTCTTAATCCATTGGGCTAGCCCATTTAATTGGGCTAAAGTGATGAGCCCACTTCGTTAAGCCCAAGATGACATCTTCCTAGAGGCCCAGTTTGGTGCCACGTGTCAAATGACGTGGCGCGCCAAGTCAAGCGGAAGAGACAATATGATCATGCCACGTGTCAAAATGACAAGACATGACCAGTCACACTGAAAGGCCAATGAAATCGTGCCACGTGTGCAAGTGACATGTTCTGGCCAATCAAATGCGGCCATGTCACCCTTCAATTTGATTGGTCGGAAAGAGTTTGTTCTTATCATGACTCTTCCCTTCCACAACTATAAATAGGGGTCTTCATAACTCAGAAAAGGAACCAGAAGTTATAACAAGAAGCAAGAAAGAGCTCGTGGA